CTTTCCCTGGCCAACTCCTTCAGTTTTCCAACCTCTACTAACAGCTCTTTGTGAAAAACCCCAAACCGGGTGTCTTGCCTTGACTTCTCCCCTTAGTTCAAGTCCTGTGTGTCCCACTGCCTGCATGGTATCCCCACCAGAAAGCTGTGCCAGCAGCTCTACTTTAGGACAAAATAACTGAACTCATCCACTGGGAGGCCTCCCCCTGGCTTCCCTGCTTCAGTCGTTGGCACCACAATGAACCCAACCACCTGTGTCTGAAATCTCAGCGGAAACACTGACTCCTTTTTCTCCCTTCCCCACAAAATTGAATAATTGACAAGCCTGTCAGTTCCAGCTCTTTCACTCCAGGTCCTCCTGTCGGCTCCCATTGCTACCACCGCAGTCCCGGCCAAGGTTCCCCTCCCCGGACTACTGATCACCTCCTAATTTGTCACCGTGTTCAGCCTCTTCCCGCCCTATTCGTCCTGAGCATGGCAACCAGAGTTCTAGTCCTGGACCACAGACACGATGGACACTTTTGCTCAGAAATCTCTGTGGCTCCTCACTGTGTGCAGAATAAAGCCCAAACATGTTGGCCTAGCACCGAATCTGAGCCTTTCCATCTCTCTTCACACAAGTACCACTGCTGCTCGTACCTGAGGCCTGGACTCCCGTCCTCGCTGTGCTGCTGTTCCTGCAGCCTGGAACAGCCCAGCTCTCCATCGGGTAAAAGTCTTACACATCATGAAGGCCCAGCTCAGATGCCACCTCCCACATAGACTCTTCCCTGAAGACCCATCTGGAAATGATAACCCCCTTCTACTTTACATTATAGTTTATCTGTCATCTTAACTTGTCTATTAGATTCTAGGCCCTTTGAAGACAAGATCCAGGTCTGATTCATTTAAGCATCCATCAAGGCATTCTGCATGGCATTAAACGCCTGGTAGATATCTGATAAAATACCAGCTGAAAAAGTGACTAAATGGATAAATGAATAAATGAGGGGTCGGTAAATCAACAAAATCCCCAAGAAACCTGAGTCCATAAAAGAACCGAAACAAGAATGGAAAGAAAGGTGGGAAGGCCCGGGTGAAGACAGGTAGCTGAGGCTTCAGTCTTCAAAGGATGAGATAAGTTACTGAGGGAAGAGAGTAGCTCTCTCTTAAAGTCTGTGGGACCGGTACCTTCGTATGTTCCATGGCGGGTGACGTGAATTTTTCTCTCAAAGGTCGAGCCTGGTGAGTTGGGCAGAGTGGAGGCCAACTCACCAGGGGCCCTCCTGTAACTGGAGGTAGAGGCATTGCCTCGTGTGCTCCCACCTACAAGAGGGGAAAAAGCACAGACCCTCAGAGGACTTCACAGATTGACATACGGTTCCACTAAGTGCACGCAGACTGCTCCTAATAAAGGAGGGCCCTATGGAGGGGCCAGAGGACTTCAGGAGAGCACATCTGAAAGGATCCACCCCTCAGCATTCCCACGGCTGCTCAGAAATGGGAGATGGAATTATTGCTACTGGAAGGTAGGGAGGTCCTTTATGTCTGTGGACAAAGTGCACGGAAATGGAGAAGCGGGATGTTTCTTGAGGACCTGGCCTGCAATCGTAGGGCACTGCTGGGTGGACTAGAATACAACCCCACGTGGAAATATTCCTTGAGAGGTAAGGGCAGGCGCTGCACTTCGTCAGCCCAGCTGTTGCCTGTCTTGGGTCTTTTCTTTAGTGTCATTCCAAGATTTTAAAAATGGCTTCAGCGGTAGAGTGTGAGTGTGTGCCTGTGTTGGATGCTTGCGCCCAGTGGAAACGCACAAAGTGTGGGTTCATATGTCACCAGCTTTCCTTAGCACAGTAACCCAATCGTTAAGTTTCTTTTGTTGTTGTTAATTCAAATTGTAAACCCTCAGACATGCACACCCTTTTCTAAAAGAGATGGCTTAAAGAGAGTAATTCAATGGGAAAGGAGTCAACTCCCCAGGAAACCTTCTTAATTAATTATTGTTATTTATATTGAGGGACAGAATGATAGCATTCCATTTTAAGTAGGTATGTGGGTAATTACCAATTAGGTATGTGGGTAATTCGAAAGTCTCACCTTTGGTGGGATGTGTGTCCTTTACACAGCTCTTTGGGGTATTTGGAATGGGTGACAAACAGTGGTAATGGTCTCCTTCCATTCAGGACCCTCTTTCTCCCTGTCCATCTGCCCTTCCCCCAGTCCTCACACCAGCAGGCACTTACTTGAGTTTATGTAGCCACTGCTGCCATGCATCAGGCTCTGTTTCTCCAGCCGGCTCCCTCCACCAAGAGAGCCTGTTTTAGCATAGCTGTTGCTGGTGCCCCCTTCTGCAGAAAGGAGGAACAGATGACAATTTACAAGTGGAGTCAGTGCAGAGGGTTTCCTCGTTCCCTGCCCCTCGGAAGCCTTCCCTAGCTTCTCACCCACGAGGCTCTTGGTTTGGGGCCGCTTTCCCACCTGCACTGCACGATACATGCTGCCATGCTCTCGGTTTGTTTGTTTTTGATACAGATGTCAAGAGCAAATATTCTACCCAATTTGAAAAGAAAGTTCCCTGGGTGGAGCATAGCAAGTTGCTGATTAGGAAAATTAAATATTTGAAAAGTCAGCAAGTGATGAAAACTCCTTGAGGCCAAGGCCTGGGTTGGGCTTGCTTTTTTTGAATGCCTGGTCTGTACACTGGACATGGCAGCCACTGGAAGTGCTGGAAGGATGAGTGAGAGCTCTGGCTTGCTGCTGTTTCACCTGGCAGCCCATCTTGCTCCAACCTCATGTGTGGATGGAGGGATCTCCCCACTCCCCACATTGAGCCAGGCTTCCCGAGAGGTGCAGGGCTAGTTTGAGGGCTCAGATCTCCATATAGAATCCACTAACCCTAATAACCTCCTGAGAAAAAAGTGGATTCAGACAGAAGCCTGGCTGTGGTTCCCTCCTCCCACCCCAGGCCCAGGCTGGATAAGATTTCTGAAATTTTAGTGTCTAGATCAGGTAAACTTATAGAGACAGAAAGTAGATTTGTGGTATTCAGGGGCTGGGGAGAAGGGAGGGGGAATGGGAGTGACTGCTAATGGCCGTGGAGGTTTTTTTTGAGTGATGGAAATGTTCTAAAATTAGATTGTTGCAAAGGGGCTGCACGACTCTGTAAATACACTAACAACAATTGAATTATACACTTTGAACTGGTGGATTTTGTGGGATATAAGGTAATTTCAATACAGCTGTTTAAAAAAAAAAAGATTTCAGGGCTTCCATGGTGGTACAGTGGTTGAGAGTCTGCCTGCCGATGCAGGGGACACAGGTTCGTGCCCCGGTCCGGGATCGGCTGGGGCCGTGAGCCACGGCCACTGAGCCTGCGCATCCGGAGCCTGTGCTCTGCAACGGGAGAGGCCACAATAGTGAGAGGCCCGTGTACCGCAAAAAAAAAAAAATTAAAATAAATAAATAAATAAAAGATTTCAGATATTTTGGACTTGCTTAACGGGAAAGTGAGTACCCATGGAAAAGGTTACATGTGGAGCCCTTCACACAGGCCTTACTGAAAAGAAAGCTCTCAAGATGGTCACTTACTTGGTGGTAAGGACGTAAGTCTTTTAGTTATTGTTTCCGTGATAACTAGAAAAAGACAAAGAAAAGATGAGATCTTAAGTAATGTACTGAAATCTCTGTACTTTGGCAAGGTCTCACGTCGTTCACAGGTTCGGCACATTAAATTAGGTTCAATATAGACTTTTATACACTTGTGCTTTAAGGTATTTGATCTGACCCACTGTAAAAGCAAATAGGTGCAATAACAATAGGGCTTAATGTACCTGGAAAATAGGTTTATATCCCTTTGGTACCAAAAGTAGTTAGTTACCCACTGATTTGAACAATGAGTTGTCTTGCATTAATGTCTCTCATATAGCAATTAGATCTAGTCCAGGCCTGGATTTGCCTTTGAAGGAGGATCAGGCCCTCAAGTCACTCTCTTTCTCTGCACTGCCCCTTCTAAATGGTCACCCAGTCCAGCTGAGGCCAGCATATCATCCTGGCTGATTACACTGTGATGCGAATAATTACCTTGAACCTCTTTATGAATTTGGGGGTGTCTCAAGGACATAATTCATTCTAAAGTCTTCAGGGCCACCCCTGAGTGTGAGGAAGTGTAGGAAGGAAGGGGGTCGGTAAGTCACATTTGGTGCTTGGACAGATGAACATCCAAGACAGACCTGAAGAACCAGTCCCTTTGCCTCCCGAAACTGAGAAGACTCCAAGTGATGATGAGTCTATAAGGTCACAAAAGCTTCCGGTGTTTTTCAAAAACACCAGTTAGAAGAAAGACCTCTTGCCTTCCTGAATCACTCTCTCCTCTACAGAAGCATGGGGAGGTGAGTAGATTCCTGAAACCTTCTGGGCCAATTCTGTGCTCTGACTGTGACCATCACCAACCACTACCTCCCTCTGGGTTGGACATTAAGGAGCACCTACCTAGCTAAGGTCGCTGGTTTCTAGAAGCACCCTTCTCGTGCACACGCCGAAGCATATTCATATGCGTGTTGTGTATGCACGTATGGTTGGTGAAAGGAGAAAAGGATGAAGACGATTGTGGGGCATCACTTTGTGATGCTGGCAACTGCTGCATCCCACACCGGTCTTACTGCTCCCTCACCCTTCCCTTCTTCACCCTGCGTGCTCCTATTAGCTTGGTTGTCCTGGCAGCAACATGGCGTTATGAATGGAGCAGAAGCATCATTCCATGCATAAAAGGAAATGGTTTTTCAGACTAAAATGGTAGCTTGATATGAATAATAGTCCTTGAGCTTTCACTAAACCTCTCATTGTGTGGACCTTTGGGATTCTATGACACATAAAAATAAATTCTTTCTTAACCTAAAGTTCCAAGTCTGTGGAGCCAGAATTTTTTTTGGCAATATATGAAAGTCACAGGATAAATGAAAGAGTCAGAGCTGTTAAGGGGCTATTTTAATGTCTCTGAGTTTATTATTTGGGCAGTTTCACAAAAGAAATATGTCTGTTTTCAGCTTTCAGTGTAGACTGCAACTGTGACACCAGTGTGATTCCAACTTTGTCCCTGCAATAATGGGGATATTATTCTTTTGGATTTCTGTTGCCCTGTATCCCTAAAAAAGAACACGGTTAAATAAGCTGTTGTAAATTCGTTCAACAGGATATTATCAAACCATTAAAAATGCTGGTTATAAAAACTGTAACATAGAAATGGTGATTTTCATCTTTGAAGAAAAAGCAGAACACATTTTGATTACAAGTGTGTTAAAAAAAAATCAACGAAAGGCTAATAGGAAGAAATACTCTATTTAGGAACACATTTAAAATGATACAGTGGGGAAAAAAAAGCAAAAAGAAAAAGCTAAGAAAAAAACTAAAAACGAAAACATAAGAAATAGAAAAAAAGATACAGTAGTTGCGGTGGAATTAGGAATAAATTATTTACTCTTTCCAAAAATTTTTTTACTTTTATAATGACACGTTTCATGCTCTTACTTCTTTCAGTGACTTCACTGCCATCTCGTTTGTTCTTGGTTACATCCATACCATCGCCCCCTACGGAAAAAGCCAGAAACCATGAATAACCATGTCTATGACCATCTCTTCATAAGTATAGGTCCCTACTATTCAAGCTGAGAACCAAAACTTGATTCCTAGAATTTAAAGCATAATTCTTTCGTGTGTATATTTTTGAACAAGAGTCATTCCCACTTCCTGTATCAGTGAGAGAGTAATTTAATTGTTCCACCTTGGATTCTACTCCTTTGTATTGGGATCTTTTTTTTTTTTTTTTTTATTGAATGGAGACATAATAATTTATCTCATTCCCCACTGATAAAGATTTAAGTTGCTTTCAACTTTAACTTTTTATAATGAAAAATATATACAAACAGGGAGAAAAGGACAATGAATATCCCTGTTCCCATAATCCAGCCACAACAATCAAAAATTCATAACCTGCTTTTTTAAAATTTTATTTATTTTTTTATACAGCAGGTTATTAGTCATCCATTTTATACACATCAGTGTATACATGTCAATCACAATCGCCCAATTCATCCCACCCCCACCCCCCACCC